ATAAATGAATCTTTTCTATGGCATCAAAGTGCTGTAAACCCCAGACTTCTGCCCCATACAACAAAATGGGTGTATCTTTATATCAAATATTTAAAAAAAAGATTGATGAGAAATGGTTTCTAAAACTTTCAAACTCTTATGGATACTTACAAAGACCTTTCTTGCTTGTAAAGCAGCTTGATACAATTGTTTATGCCATGACCAGTTTCTACTGAAGTAAACACCAAGATATTTATAAAAACCTGTAGTTTCTATTTTTTGTCCTTTAAAGGACCAATATTCTTTACTTGCTGAATGACCTCCATTCTTAAATACCAAAACTTTTGTTTTACTCATGTTAACTGTTAGCTTCCATTTATTGCAGTAACTTTCAAGTTCATTAATTTGACAATGCAGTCCTTTGATTGTTGATGAAAAGAGAGCAATATCATCTGCAAATAAAAGTAATAATATCTGTGTAATATCTGGATGGAGCTGAACACCATAATTACAGTTGGTATTTATTTGTACAGCCAGTTCATTTATGAAAAAAGTAAAGAGAAATGGGCTTAAGATGCATCCTTGTCTTACTCCTAACTGACTAATAAATGTTTCTGAAATCTCATTATTGTTTCGCACACACACCTTAATATTCTCGTAAATACTACCCAATAGTTTGTTCACCTTAAAGCTGAGGCCATGTGATCTTAAAAGGTTCCATAGCTTATGTATCTGCACTGAGTCAAATGCCTTGGCAAAGTCAACGAAGAGCACATAAAGTTTCCCACCCTTGACACTGAGGTATTTGTTAACAAAAACTTGAAGGATAAAAATGTTGTCAATAGTTGAATAGCCCTCTCTAAATCCAGCTTGTTCTTCATTGATTTTGTTGAGGGTATCTGCCCAAAACACTTACCTTTTATTTATTATGTTTGTGAATAGTTTACCAAAAATACTTAGCAGTGAAATACCTCTGTAATTGTTTATATTATTTAGATCACCTTGTTTATGTATTGGCACAATTATCCCTATTGACCATGCATCTGGAAATGTTCCATTTTCTAATATAACATTAAATATAAGTTCAAGGTAAGGTACAATGATATCTGAGGAATGTTTAAAAAACTCGGGAATAATCTGATCCATTCCTGGTGATTTGTTGCCTTTAAGATGGTGTATACTCTCTAAAGTCTCTTCTCTGGTAATAGGGGAATCCAGTATATCATTTGCAAACTGAGTATCTGTTTGAGTCTGAGTATTATCTTGTGACTCCTGGAACTGATTTTCAGGGCTCTGATAAGTATCTGTGAAAGTAAATAATTCTTTAAAGTAGATGTACCATTCCTTAATGTTGATATTATTTGCCTTTTGATGTTTGCTTAGACTTTACAGTTCTGACCAAAATAGTTTAGAGTCATGAATGTTATTTTCTAAGGATTGTTGCTTATCATGTAAATATTCTTGTTTCTTTTCTTTGCACATAGCTATATATTTGTTTCTTATGTTATGATATTCTGTAAGTGAGTCCATATCTTTATATCTCCTGATTTTATTGAGTGCCCTACATCTTTTCTTTTTAGGACCCTCACATTCTGCATCATACCATTTACACAATTGATTAAGCTTTGGATTTCTAACCTTTTTTGCATGTCTGAGACCGCTAATTTCAAGGCATCCACTAAGTAGTTAATACTTACATCAATATTGGACAATGCTGTATTTACTGATTTATCAAGTAAATCTTGAGCTTGGTCAGAAAAGAGTTGATCTCTAAAATTTTGTGATTTGTCATTATCCCAGACAAACTTAAAAGGTTAAGTAACCTGATCATTCCTTTGTTTTGAGGGTTGGTGTGTTTCAGGTACTCTTAATGTCATAGTAACTGGAAGGTGAACTGAATCTGAACGAGATTCTACACCAAAATCTGCAACATTGTCAAATAATGGAGAAGAGGCTATAATATAGTCAATTACACTGGTACCATTTACACCAATAAAAGTAAAGTCACCGTCAAGGATATTGTTACTGGTGGAGTAAAGTACTACTTCTGTTAATTTATCCCATGTTCATAAATATAAATTATCTTCAGAACAGTTTTCATCTTATGTTAAGTATCTCAGCGAAGATATTTGTAAAGTGATGTTTGAAAAATATATATTGTTCGTAGATCAAAATGTAAATGCTGCAGTATGTAAGCTCAGAGATATCATACTCTACTGTGCAAAGTCAGCTGGTGCTGTTTCTATAGGATCTTCAGGTAGACAAAGATATCAGCCTCCGTGGTTTAATAAGGAGTGCGAGTTTCTGAAGTCTGAGAAATACAGACTTTTGAATAAATTTAGAGGTTGCAAGTGTGACTCAAACTTAAAGCAGTACATATCAGCCAAAGATGGTTTTAAGAAATGTTGCAACCAAGTGAAACTTAACTATGACCTACATTTAAATGAAGAAATCAATACTGCTGCTAAACACTGTGGTTGTAAACAGTTTTGGAAGACAGTGAAAAAGGCCATACAGCGATGAACACTGAGAAGCTACATATCTCCAAGTGACTGGCTGACTTACTTTAGAGATCTTCTCAATCTCGTACAAGAAACTGATAAGAATGAGTTTGATTGTGTTGTGGAGGAGTTTCTGCTCTCTCATACATGTGATAACTGTAATGATTTTTACCCTTTTCGGATGAGCTCCTGTCAGGTGAGATCACTGAAAGAGAGGTCACGGATGCTATCAATAACCTGAATACGGGCAAGTCCGCAGGTGAAGATGGGATACCCCCTGAATTCTTTAAACTACCATCGAATCTCTTTGCAATATACTTGAAGCTATTGTTCAATAAGATTTTAGACATGGGTGCGTTTCTCGAATCTTGGAATATAAGTATGATTATTTCATTATATAAATCTGAGTCAGTTTGTGAACCATATAATTATAGGGGCATTTCACTACTAAATGTTATGGGAAAAATCTTCACGTCAATCATAGAAAAACGTTTGAGAATATCGATGGAAGTAAATGATTTACTGTCCGAGTCTCAAAGCAAGGTTCCGACCAAACTACTCTTCTGTTGATAACTTGTTTGTTTTACAAGCTCTTTGTTCTAAATATTTGTGCAGAACCAGAGGTCGTTTTTATTGTGTATTTATTGACTTTAAAAAATGCTTTTGACTATGTTAATAGGAAAAAATTGATGTATTTACTTATTAATAAGGGATGTCATGGTAAAATGTCTGTACTTTTAAAAAACATGTATGCATCAGTCATCACATGTATAAAGATCAATACGGACTGCTTTATAACATCTTCCGGTGTACGAAACGGTTGTGTTTTAAGTCTGTTGTTGTTTATATTTTTCATAAATGAACTTGCTATAGAGTTGCAAAATCGTTGTCTACATGGGATATTTGTAACATAAGAAATAATTTACATTGTGCTCCTTCTCTTTGCTGATGATGTTGTAATATCTTCCTTTTCTGTAAATGGCTTGCAAAAACAGTTAAATCTTTTACAGAGTTACTGTTCAAAATGGAGCCTTGAAGTATATCTAATAATAACCAATGTTGTAGTTTTTAGAAAAGGTGGTATTGTTGCAAAACATGAAAAGTGGTTTCTTGGTTCGTCTGCCTTGAATGTAGTCACTTACTATAAATATTTAGGTCTTATGTTCTCTAGATTGTCATGGTCTATGGCGTGTAAGCAATTACCTGCTCAGGCGTCGAAAGCAATTATGCCTCTTTATAATATATATTAAGGGAAAATAGCCGTGTATCTTTTTTCACAGCATGTACTATTTCTTAAGGCAAAATTATGCCTATACTTTTGTATGGTTCTGAAATATGGAGTGCTAAATATTATGCTGCAATTAAAAAAGTTCACACTTGATATTTCAGATGTTTTCTATGTGTCGGTAAGTTTGCCTCAAATAAGGCAATCCTTGGTGAAACAGGCCGTAATAATATTTTTGTAGCCAGCCAATTAAGGGTAATTAAGTATTGGATTAAGTTACTTAGAATGATGCCTGATAGATACCCATATCAGTGTTACAAAATGTTAAAGGTACTTGGTGATATAATGGAAAAGAAAATTGGGTTTCAGATGTGAGAATCTATTATTTGTTAGTGGCTTTCCATGTGTATGGATTTCTCAAGATGTGGGAGATCCACAGTTATTCTAATATTCATTTGAGCAAAGACTGAAGGATATATTTTGTCAACAGTGGCGTCAAAGTATTTCTGAATCACTTTATCTCAGCAATTACAGCAAAGTAAAATCATTGTTACGAACTGGAAGATATTAAACTTGTTTAAATGATAAAAGTTGAATGAGAGCTTATTGTAAACTTGAATTTCATTGCATAATTTTAATGTAAATATATGTCGCAGGTCCAAAGACGGTGATATTGTGAACTCTATTCGTACAAACTCTTAATCCGGAGAAGTAGAGGATGAATACCATGTCTTACTCATATGTGAAACGTATTCCCATTTAAGGTATAAATTTCTCCCCATGTTGCAAGGTACTTTTAAAGACCGTCAGTTAATGATAAATCTTCTAAACTCTGTAAATCCTGATATGATCCATGCTGTTTCTGTATTCTTAAAACATGTCTTTAAACTGAGGAATGTGTAACTTGATTTAAAATCTGATCATGCACATCACGTGACAATGTTAATATACAACCTGCATTGTACTATGGGCCTTGATGCCTAAAATACTGAATAAACTGTCTGTCTGTCTGTTGCAGGACAATTGAAGCGCCCTGCAAATCACTATTTCAACAAGACATGTTGTCGCCCATACATCTGGGACAGATTCCATTACAAAGACTATTATAAGGGTAACGCTATTTTTCAGGGCATTATCAATTGCAGAAGCCCGAGTCTTCCATTATCTGCCCGACGAAGGAGGGAAGTTGAAAAGACCGAGGGCTTCTGCAAATGATAATGCCCTGAAAAAGAGCGTTACCGTTATTATAGCTAAAATGGATGGAATTTGTTATCAAATAAAAAGAAACAACAATATCGGTTTTGAAACATTTACTGCAATCAACACGAATGTCACTGACCACATTTTACAAATATAGAAACGTCATGGAACAAACTAGATGACGTCACTATAATACGTGACGTCATTTTCTCTACCCTATGACGTCACCGAACAACGGGCTTGATAATGGCCCGTCGTCAAGCAATATGAGGGCATTATCAAGTTACAGTGGCCCGCTTATTTCTGATAACGTGCGTGCGTTTTTATGATAATTCTATCCATTTTAGCTATAAGGAAAGTTAAATTGATACACCTTATGATATAGAGTGGTTAACTAACAACGTGTACAACAACCACGGAGGTAGTTTATATTTTGATTCCACAAGCTTCAATATCTACAAGATCTAGTACTACGCGTAAAGTCAGTATCTTTGTATGGCTGACTAAGCCAATGAGGTAAACGCATTTGGGAATAAGGTGTCGCTAAGTTGCTCGAACCTGGAAGAATGACATAGTTGTTCCCCTTAGCCCATTGCTGAGACAAATGATACATGTTTAAAGACTTACACTCGGCAATATCTCCAGCAATGAGACACCAGTATTAGTTTGAATATGGAGTGGGGCCCTGAGCAAATACATTTCCAACAGAGCAAAAGTACTATATACAACAATTACAATTGTATGTGTGGTAACCTCTTCTTACATTTCATATAAATAGATGTAATTTCGCGAAATTTTGGTTTCATCACTGATTTTCAGTGATCCATTCATATAATTGTTGTCGTTTTGAATCCACAGTGAAAAACATTTTTTATCACATTCAATTTATAACATTAAATTACAAAAATTGCAGTTTTAATGCTTGACATATTGCTTGAGAGTGAGTCGTCCTATTTGGTGGCACTTGATTTGCATACCAACGCTGAAGTCTGCATAAGAAGGACCAGGCGATACCACACATTACCCTACATGCATGATCACGTGATACGATTGTGTGCCTACTTTGGCGTTTCGCACGCAGCATATGGACACACATGCTTACAACAGGTTTTCTTCAAGATTGTCTTCATAACGTACAACTTCGATGCATCAGTGTTTTTCTCGTCAGTTCTGTGAAGTCAAACACTGCACAACAAGCTTGTGCACAACACAGCGCCATCCACATAAATTAACGACTAACGAACCAACTAGGTCTGCCTTTTCCACTAAGAACTGTCATAACATGGTTTGTATTTACATGTATGTGTTTATTATTCAATACGTTACTGACATTGGATAAAAATATACATGGAAAGCGGAGCTGAAGTTACAGGAATAAACTTAAAAAATGACTGTTCACGTACGAGACAAGTTTCAGGGCCTGGCTTGGAATTGGCTAGGTTAAGTGAGGTGAATGGGGTTCAAGGTTATTGAGAAGGTCGTCAAAGCAATTCTAGATGTAATTAAGGCCTGTGCAAAATGAGCACCGACCAGTAAATGTCAGATGGTAAAAGCGAAATCGCTCCAATTTGCAAGCTACCTGATTGTCTTCATATCAGTTTGAGCCTGTCAGGCCATGCAAACAAAACATTGGTAAGGAGCAGAAATATAAAACACAACGTCGAAACAAAGAGGTAACGGCAAACTGCACACCAGAGTCTGGTACTTGTAATTCAGCATCTAAACTAATAAATAGTGAATATAAGGACACATATACATATCTGTATAAGGAGATGCATATATAACATGACGCGGTAATCATGTGAATTCTTGGAGTAAAAAAAAAATCTAGGTCACCAACTATGTTGAATAGCCACGAGAAATACCGAAACACGAATTAGATATTCACTAATGCACGATTGTTTCGAGTTCAATGCATGATACATAAGTACTACTCTCACATAGTAGGCGCTTTCTCCGGGTTTTCAGCACAAGGTGGTAGCGTCCTCATTGGTAAAGCTGCTATGGTTCCTGTTGCTCCGGTTACAACAGCGCCACCTTCCGTTTCTCCTGTGTAGAGGTTGCGCTGGTTTTGCAATTCCCGTTCCTTCTCCTGAAACACCTGGTACAAATGTTGGGTAAGATCTGCTGCAACTAATTCGCTGGAATTCCGGGAGATCATGGACAAGATAAACACCCCATCGATTCCGAGGAAACTGCCGATGAATTGTGTAACAGCGGGTTCGTTAGGGCGAGCTCCTTTGGAAGCGTTGACGTGGGCAGCTATCCTGCCATCTCTTAGGAACGGTAGGAAGAGAAATCCTGCCCACAGGACAAGATTTAGGATTGAGATGATAGCCAGAAGGAAGACCCAGTACCACAGGAATATGAACATCTTCTCATAGATTTCGGTGATTTGCAGAGTACACGGAACTGTAAATCTCTGGGTATTCTGCATGAAGTGAATTTGAAAATGGCAATAAATGTCTTTTACTAGAAATGGTTTTATGATGGAGTCAGTATCAAAATCAGCATATGACCCAACCCTGATTGCTAGGTATGGTCTAAAGTAAGTCGTCAGGAACATAAACTGCACCATGAGATTGATACACGAGAGGAGCTTCACAAATAGGTACAACAGAGCCAGAAAGAATCGGTTTCTTCTCAGTAGACTTCCAAATAATCGGGCTGCATCACTGAAACTGGCCTGGCGATTCTCCGGACTGGTCAGTTGTACACTTTTCAGGGACTCGACAGTTTCCTCCATATTAAGAGTGAGCAAGTGCTTGCAGCTGTTCCAGATGATGTTTGGTACTTTGAAGGCGAGGGCTTGGAAGAAGAGTATGAGGGGTATCCAGAGGTGGAAGGAGGGGACAGAGGGAGGTTTTGTTTCATCATCATAATTATCAGATATTGATTCGTTATGATACATGACCTTCAGAAAACATGATTCCTGTGTGTACGAGATCATAGAGCTTGTGAATTGAGCTGGGCACCAACAACTAATGGGTGTAGTGATGTAACGTAAGGCGAATGATCCGACAGAACACACGGCCAATAGAAGGACTGTCCAGAAGCCGTTGATGGAGTCAACATGATCCTGATCTACTTCACGTCCAAACCATGATCCAAATACTGCCATTTTTGTCTGAAAACAAGTAAAAATGATTAAGTCGAATTGGAATCGATATATCTTTATATTTTATGTGCATATACTCAATATCCTTATAAGGTATAAACGCCAAAGTCCCATGTCCATAAATTCAGCATGATTGATGTTACTATGAGAGATGGATGCCTTATCTTGTACATGGACATTTCTAAATACAAGAGCGCCTCTCACAAACTTTGTATAGTTCATAAAATATATTTTGATCTTAAGGCAGTCAAACATGGGCAAACCAATATAAAGTGGTACTCATTATCTTCAATTATTCCTTAATACACAATTTACGGAGTCGATTACAACGAGCAGCACCAGGTCGTCTTCCAACATGTATCATAAGTGTCAGTTCACCAATTCTTAATTAACATAAAAGTCGCCTGTATTCACGAACCGTGAAAGTGTATAAATATTACACAACTGCTAGAAGTGATTTATATTCTTGATAAGACATAGTTTACCTCTTTCACAACTTTTGAATATCACTTTTGTTGATTATAATCTCTTGTACAAAGTCATTTAAAAAGTAAAATATTTTCCCCTACTTTTTGTTTGATGCATACAAAGTCATAACCTTAAGAGAACAATAATCTTTTGACATTTAAAACCCACGTTACACGATTGCACTGATCTGAAGATAACATTGCTTCAGGTATATAGATGGTCTGATATCGTTCAATAACCTCCGTGGTCTAGTGGTAGAGCGTCCGCCCGGAGAGCGGAAGGTCCGGGGTTCGATCCCCGGCCGCGTCATACTATAAGACGTTAAAAGATAGTACTTGTTGTTACCCTGTCTGGCGCTCGGCATTAAGAGGCTAAAAAAAGGACTGGTCGGCTCGGAGTCAGTTATACTTCAATAACCATCAAACAACCAATTCCCTTCTACTCATTTACTTCACTGATTAACCCTGCTGAACTAGAAAAAGGAGACTAGTGAGAACGCCTCATCTCTTTCATTTTAAGATTCATGCATAAAGATTCAGAGTGACAAAACACAGGACTGTATGACAAGAGGGATAACTTCAACTTTCCAATTCATTTTCCCTTCATTTCGAGCGATATTCCAGCAGCTCCTGCCTTTTGTGTTTACATTTCACAACCTTTCTACCATGATTTCAAAGGGCTTCACAAACTGCCCAGAAATGTAACCAAGGTTACAAGTCCTCAGTAAAGCTCTCAAAACGTTTTATGGTAGACATGGGGTGGGCATTTAGAACTTTGACGCAACAGTGACAAGAATGATGTCCGATGCAATTCCCTGTTGTGACTTGTACCATTCGTGCCCGTGTGTTTTCAGGGGGAACAATTAACTTGCTGTCATTTTTATTTGGATATCTGTAATTAGACATTGATAACAATTTCAACAGATATTTAATACATCTCTGGTGGTAACAGTTGTATACTGTCATGAATTAAAGCGTTAAGTCGGGCTTTTCTTGGATAGAATGTTAATTGATCATTAGTGAACATGATCCATTCTCAACTTACACTAACTGATATTTGCCACAGCAAAATAGTTTGATATTTAGACGGTTATTTATTGACATTGTCAAATGGAGCCTAAACTAGAATCTCTTGGGTTAGATGTGAACATTTGTACTTCTCAAGTTGCTGATCAGGAAAAAGGGCAAGCAAAATGTTGAAAGATATCTCAGCACAAGAGATATTAAAACATACAGCGTACATCTCCCGTGGTAGCAAGTATCCACTACTAAACTCACTAATACCCCCGACCCGCCTAGTGTGTCAGTAGTTTCAAATTAAATAGCTAGGATAGGGTTAGGGTTTGAAAAATTCATAAAAAAATGGAATACATTTTTTTTCTTTTGACTGCACCCCTCCATATTACACAGATAATATGTACTAAGTTTGAGATGAATCCACTGAATAGTTTAAGAGAAATCGCGCGGACAAAGTTTTCGGACGGACACGCGACAGACGGACGGACGGACGGGCGGAACCTTGGTAAAACTATATAAAAATCACTCACTCTTTGTATAAGCTGCACTTGTAAATTTCATTACATGCATTTTAATACAGTTCCTGCTACGATGGTTTCTCCTACATGTATCATTCACATGGGGAAACGAAACCATATTGTGTTTTGCTTCTTTCATAATGGATATTATGTTGCCTTACATTAAAATATAAGCTTCTGATTGGTTAAGGAGTAGGCAACTATTTTCCATGTAGCCCGCTCCGAGACGGTGTACTAATTTCGTGTAGCCCACTGGGAAATCAATCGGATCACATCATGGGTAGCCTAAACTCTGGGAACAACTGCAAACTTTTCTTGTAGGACACCTAGACTTGGATGACAGCTGGGACAGAACTGATTTATTCCAATACTGCTGACGCTTTGTCAGTTTGTGCATTCTACCAATTACAACATCACGCTCTGACCAAACCCAATTTTAAAGACATTTAACAGGTTCTTCTTCTCTGTTGCCTCATTTTGGGATTTTCTTTGACAACATCCATAATGATTTTAAAGTTGTGATCCCAATTGGTAGGAGGCAGGTCCATATTTGAACAAGAAAAGAGCGTTATCACTACCCCCCGCCTTTGGGCACATTAGAATTTTGTTTGTTCATATAGCTGTAAATAATATGGAAGTTAAGGTAAACTGTAGGAAAAAGACGTAAAATGATCCTATAAGGCGCTAGGGTCGCTTTACGTCATCAGAAAAAAAAAATCAAATGTGAAATTAATACACACAAAAGGGCCCTTCTGTGGCACTAATTTTCGAACTGTCTTGATAAGTATCTCTTAGATGAGCTTGCAAAATTCCATTCATGTAACTTTGTAGGTTCTGAGAAAATGTGTCCCCACTGGAGACACTATGCATAAAGTAAAACAACACGGATCAAGGACTGTAACTATGTATGCACAAACACATGTACTAAAGGAAGTAACTCTGGCTAAAAATATTTCAAGGCATCAATTCGAATTCAGTGTTGATAATCGGGGACCAACCATTTGATAATCTGGGGAGGGCCTTGGATTTTGTCTGGAGATCAGATATTTTTCAGCTACAGGGGTTGGATTGGTTGGGGTAGGTGGCTTGGGGAAGCAGTTCCACTGTCTTGGCCGAAACAGTTTCTATTTTATTCGTCTAACATTTGTACCAAGCCAGTGATATGTCTCTGGGACAAAAGGTAGACTAGCGGTCAAATCGACTTGGTTGATGTCAATAGGCGAGAAAACACTTTCCATATTTAAGCATCTTCCCGAGGCAAGAGAGTTAACTGACTTTAAAGTCCAGTTTCCACCCTTGCCGAACTAGGCTGGAAGTCCTGGGCTCAATCGTAGCGCCACCAGTGGTTATTACAAGTTATGTCCCTAATTAGCCTCTCCTGTGGACCAATTAGATTCCATCACTTGCATTTGTTTCAAACAAAATGGCGCGCCCAGTCAAGACGATCTGATCGATAATCAAGGTCTATATTGTGATAAAACGGGACTTACATTGCGAAGTGCAAACAAGTCACGTGAACACCTTGATTAAAAGCATGAAAAGGTTTGTAAAATTTCTGTTGAGAACGAGTTGGCGGTGCAAATGCTTTGCTAATCCTGCAATCTGCACGACAGTTTACGAACCGGATTTCGATTTCGTTGCGCGATTTTGATTGGACCATGCATAGACTCGTTACACTGCAAACACGAAAACGTCGTTTTTTCCGTATAAGGTCATTGGACGGAAAAACAAAGTTATTTGGAGGCTTTCAAACCATCGTTTTTCCGTCCAAATAACGTCGTTATTTGACATCGGAATTTACTTGGAGAGAACGACATCATCAAGCTCTTCCCTTTTTGATTGACATTGTCAATCAAGCAACAGCGTCTGTCGGTATTTCTACTTCTCAGATTTCATTGGTCAGTTCTCTCGTGTTAGAATCCAGGCCCGAGTTTGACGCTATACTCGAAGCGCTTAGCGGAAGTACTGAAATCAATATTTCTGCCCATGCGGATTGTTGAATGCCTTGTTCAAATTTTCCGTTCTGTGCATGCGCGATTTCGCTTATTGTTCCCTGGATTTAATGTCACCACTATTTGACAATAATTCATAAACACAGTCTGGTGGAAGTTCGGAATCGTACAATGTCGCTTAAATTTATGGCACGTAATGTATCAGCGCGCTTTTCCCATTAACTTATACAATGATAACGGTAATAATTTTAGTCAAAATAATTAGGAAAGCGCAAGGCTCAGGAAAGTCTGAGTATAGGAAAAGGATTTATACTTTCGCAAGTTATATAATCGTCAAATACGCAAATGAATATCAACCGGCTTTTAAAACTTATTTTTGTAGAAGGTGAACTTGATGCATATTGCCAGATATTATATGCATATATATATATTTCCGATATTGCTTATTTTAATGTTTATTAATAGTTTTAAGATTTGTTCGCCTAACTGACGGGATTCCACTTTCTGATTTGTTCATGATACTTAAGGAGTGTCCTGTTGCTGTAAACAGATTAGTTTCAAATTACAAACTGGTGATATCTATTGAGACTAATGCTTAGTCTCTAAAACTGAATAGTTTTGAAAGAAACAAGTAGCTCCACTGAAATTAAAGAGGAGCATTCTCTATCCTAAGAAGATCATAGTTACATGCAACATGCTTATCCAACTGAAACTACCATCCCGCTCAAGGTCGAACAGGCCCACATTCACACAGACACACACAGACACGGACACACACTGGCACGGACACGGACACGGACACACACACACGCACGCACGTACACATACACATACATTTTGAGTTACCAATCCCTGAATTGAGTAGATGTGCGTTACGAAACTCCTCCAAGTCGTCATCCATATCGGTAAATGACTGTGATATTATTACCCATCCAAATACGCCGAATATTGTGCTTTCTTGACAACAAATGTTATAATTGAGATAACACCTACTTAGTAAAGTACAGATTCTCGTACTGTTTTGGGTTGAGTCCCGTCAGGGATTTGGACCCACA